GGCTAATAGTATTGTCTTTCAATTGGGAGAATTCAAAGGTTTTATCGTACGTTTAATCAGAGGTATCGGTGTCAGTCGTTTTCTATTTATTTCAGCTTTGCCTGTGCACGGATATAATACATTCATGTTTTAAAATGAAAGTTGACATTATAATAGTTTACATACTGTTTGTTTTAGAATTATTTAGCTAAGAGTAAAGAGATAGCATACCAGCACCACTTGTATTGGCTGCTACATCACGTTTTTCAGAAGCTACATCATTCACACCAGCAGATAAAGAAAACGTCGAACATTAATATAATTAGATTCGTATTTTTAAAATTTTGTTATAAATTACCATAATACAATAGCTATATTATGACGTTCATTTGCTTTTCTTAGGAATAGATCATAAAAAAATTCAAATCCTAATTAAAAATTTGCCTGAATTAATTTGCTTTTGTTTTGTTTGACAAGGTGACCTCTAAAGTGAGGATGAGAACAAGGATGAGTCAGGGATATTAGGAGTAAAAAATTCACATCAATCCTGACAGATTTCGACTCCAAAAACATTGCCAGGGGTCAGTCTGATGATTTCTTATGAATTGTAAAAGCTGTGCCTGTTTTTCTAGTTTTACTAACAGGTTCCATCAGTTTTAAATGATCAATATTTCTACATAGTATGTACAAATACAAACGCAATGAATGTATATCCTCGTTAATTATATTATTCGACGATCTGCAGTCTTATAATTGACATGGCCTAGTTTTTTAAGGCAGCAAGAATATACCCCCCCCCCCCAGAAAACAAAGCTTTGAATTAAAGTCTTTGGTTGTTTTGTTGTCGATTATTCTTGCATGAAGGACCTTCTCATCTTTGAATGAAAGTATTTAAATGACGCTTTGAATGAAAGTATTTTGTTGTTTTGTTGTTGTTTATTCTTGCATGAAACACCTTCTCATCTAAAGAAAAGTTTACAGATTCCTTGAACGCATCAAGGAGAATAAATTCCATACCGTTTTACGATCATTTCAGTTGTATAACAAGTTTTACGTTGTTCTTTACGTATTAAAATTAGAGGCATTTAGTCGATGTTGTTCAAAATATACATTATCAATTCAGCTGACGGTGATGCTGTAAACTATTTATTCTTCTCTTGACACTTCGTGTTTTTTCCAATGATTTTATTCTCATCTTTCCCTAAATGCCTTGGGCATGAAATGCAGTACGGAAAACTAAACAGATAAGCAAATGTATAAAACCCAAAGTAGTAACATAAAGTACTTAAGTGTACGACTGAATTTGCAATGTTTTCTCCTATATTATCAGATTACTTGGAGACAAAAAGCTGCATCAACCAGGCAATTCAAAAGTAGATAGACTTCCGTTATTTCTTAAAGCTTTTATCTGCAAATTTGGACGATGAGAAACCCAAAACAAATCGGAATTCTCAACGATAAAGATGTTATTTATATCTGCAATTGTCTATTCTGCTCATCTTCTATTCGGTTCAATAGCCTCTATGTTATAGGTCTCTAACTCATTTCCCCTTCCTCTTGTCTTTATCTTCATTTTATGCTCGCATTCCTTCTATACAAACTGAAAAGACAAAGTAATGCATTGCTTGTATACTCTTCCATTTTGTGCGTGTTGAAAACTGCGTATTTTTGGACTAGTTGTGTATTATTGGATAGGGATATCATTAGAGGTGTCGTGGTCTAATGGATTCGTCATCGGACTGTGGATTAAAGTACATGGTTCGCGGTTCGAGTCCCGCCGCGGCACTAATGTCCTTTGCCAAGACCCTTATCTACGTTAGCCACCTTTCAATACGAGTGAAGTAAACGGGTACCCGGTAGGAAGCAATTCTTCGAATGCTTTATTTCCTTGCCATAGCGGTTCGGCTAGAAAGTCAGGAATAATGTTTAAAGCGCACTAGAATATTTTCCTATAGTATCTGCATCGCATAAATGGAATATATCAATATAACTATTATTATCAACATTATTATCACTGTCATTAATTATTGTAAGTTGCCAATGGCAATTTTACGATGGCTTAGGAATCTTCTTCAGAACTGAGTAGTTGTATTTCAAGATCATAACCAAACTATGAGTCACAATCAAAGAAAAATATACGGTTATTTCTATTTATATACTTCTATTTATGATAACCCCTTGTTTAACATGTTTTCTTGTTATTATATTCAGAATACTTAACAGTTATCTCATTTCAAGAATAATCAAATATTATTCATCTCGGCCAACTTTCTCACATTATTAGAACCATGTTAAAAAGAAACGTATTCTTGTCTTCCAAAATGCGTCTACGTCTATATTTTAACATGTAAATTCTTATCCAAGATTCCTATTATGAAATATAGCTTTTTTGATCGGGAATAAGGTTGAACTATCTCCTATCGTAATTTGATTACAAAAACCATTATCTTATACATGCTTATAGGCAGTCGTAAGTATACCCGTATAATATTATCCGACCTTAGGAATTAATAAATATGGTCTTTATGCTTAATAACACGAGAACAATGGCGTACACCATGTGGAAGAGCGTGTGCACGAATTAATGATCAAAATATGCTGGCTGTAGGAAATAATTGATCCCTGTGGTTAATGTATGGTAGATAATTTATTACCGAGGTCTAAAGGCTTATCATCATAATCTACAAAATTAACTGCCTGTTCTCCTTTCGTCGTGTACGTTATTATCATAACCCTGGCAAATCATAACTCCACCACCGGCCTATGCTATCGCATGGTCTGTTTTGGACATTATTTAAGGAATTTCTTCTTATCGTAAGACATTAACCTTTACATGCATGGGTCGAGTGTGGCAAATACAAATTAATGTCTTTTCAATATCACGGGGATTCGAACCCCTGTGTCAGAATATTATGGTGCACAGTCTGGTGATATTATTACGAGCATTTGGGGCATCTTCATCAATAAAAGAGAGAGAGAGAGAGAGAGAGAGAGAGGGAAAAGAAAACCTTTTTACATGTAGACGTGTAATGTTTTTCATGTATATACTTCAAACACAATTATACATTATACATTTTGTTCTCATAAGAGCTCAATCTATTTTGAATTACTTTGTTTTCAGTACACTCATCTGACTTGCTAGCAATATACTGTTTTTGTATTTTGTATTTGGGTTTTGTTTGCTTTTTTTTTTGGGGGGGGGGTTATTTTTTTGTTACTGCTTTGATGTTTTGATGTAAACATTAATCATTTTGATATATTTTTCCCATTTGCTATGTTTCCCTATATATATATATATATATATATATATATATATATATACATATTAATGTTTTTGAATGTTTTTTGTATGTAAGATGTAAACTCGCATTTCTATAGTCATTGGACGAGATTGAATAAAACCAATTGAATTGAATTGAATAGAACATTACACCACTGATTTCACACGGCATATTGCGGCACTTTATCTTAAATAATTTCGCTTAATTAGAATTGAATTGATTCTCTGCTTAATCTTTCCTCCAAAATTATAATGACGTTATAGGCAATCCTTTTGAAGGTGCACTGTGTTACAGAGAATCGATCGTGTTGGCAAACCGATACCACGAAGATGGGAATATAGAATGACATAGTTGGCATTATATTATGGACAGAAAATTTTCATAATCTGTTATAGAACATTATTCAAATTGGGATGTGGTGTTACAAAAACTAAAGATATTCATAGTCTAGCGTGATCCCACGTATGGAAAAGGTATGACTGTAACAGAAAGAAAGTCGATGGCTGAAGAAGGGGATGGTAAATATATTATTTATCCTTAGTATTCATGTTCCCTTCTCCCTTTCCTTTCCCCTCTTTTACTGATCTCTCCCTCTCTTTCTCTCCCTCTTTGTCCTTTTCCCAATTCGATGGGGGCGGGCGTGCCAACATAATCTTTGCACTGTTCTTCAAGTATGAAATGTATGTAAAGGCTAGGCCTACAGACGTACATGTACGTATAAGTGAAAATACTATCATTGTGTCTTGATGGCTGTATCTTTAAAGGCTTATCGATTGAGAAGAGAATTTCGTTTAAACATTAAATTTATATGATTATTAAGAAGAGAAATAGCATTATCGAAATCAGATATAAAACGTCGGGCGCTTTATACAGTTCAAGTATATGTTATGTTACAGTGGGTAGAGAAAATGAACTAACACATTTTCTATTAATAGTTCCAGAGTACTTCAAAGCTAGTGTTGTAGACTTTACTCTTATTTTCTATATATTGTAAAAATGCGTTACAGAAAGAAAAAAATCACGGGGCATGTCCCAGTAGTAACATATAACTACATTTTGTATATATGATAAGATGAAGTCACCCAACTACTAGAAGGAAGAAATGACATTGAACTGGAAGCCCGACTGAGAACACAGCATTCTTCCAGAATCTCGATCGGGTAAAGGTAAAGGTAATGGGTCTTCCGCACCTGCTGGTATGCGTATATACCCGACTATTTCCACATGACCACGGCATGACAATTAATAATTGTTTATAAAGATATGCTGTATTATTTCTAAGGTAAAGGACATAGTAATTTTGTTTTATACCAAAGAATACTAGTGATATGAAGAAAAAATGTATATATATTTATTCAACTTATTATATACAATGACATGTGAAAACAAGAACCATGAAAACAGAATCATTCGATCCTTCGATTTTTAAAACTTATTTCATACAATCTCCAAACGTTCTCATGGTTATTAACTTAAACAGCAGAATGGTCACCAAGGTACGAACAAGTTTTATGAAATAGAAAATGGGAAAAAATGTGAGTAAACATATGATAAGGGATAGAGCAACGTCGATCTGGCGCTGCTCAGTGGCTGCCGGGCTCACGATCAATTGGGCAAAAAGAATTTCCGTTTCGGTTTAATAAAATTTGGAGTGGACTATTAGGCTATTATTAGGGTAAAAATTAACTCTAGGTCTATTAAGAGTCGAATATATTAATACGGGTGTGGCAATAATCATACCTGTGCACTTGTTGTGGCAATGGTGGTGGTGGTGGTAGGACTAGGTGAGGTAATAGCAACTGGTGATGTCATATTTGGAGACATGGTCGATGGATTGACACTCGACTCCCAGAAAAAGCTGTAGTATATCGCCAAAATCACTGCTACTAGCGATACTGAGAGGACATAGGCGAACACGGTAGCGAGGCGAACCCATTTCTTGTTCGTTTTTAGATTGTTTGCGCCATTTCCACTGCCATTTCGTCGGTTTTGATCCATGCCGTTATTTCCCGTTTGATGCATACTGTAATACTGGTGTAGTTAAAATGGATTCTAATAGCTATCCACTCATGCAATCGAAATCACCGCCTCAGTATAGCTGGTGCCCAGCCGTGTATGAGCTGTGCGAAGCGAGTGATGTTTACAACTGATTAATCCTCCGTGCATAAAAAGCCAGTCTGTGAGCTTTAACTTTCTGCTAATACCCGCACTATACTCTACTGTGCAGCTCTCCCGTGGTCTGACATTCACTTGGTTAGGCATTCATTTTAACACCAACAAAGCTTCTAATTTCACAGCGGTGGAAAGAAATCACAAATATATCCGAGTCTCACAATCGAGAAATTGGCCGATCAAATAGGCTGCAAACCCCGCTGCAAACAAACACAGAAGTAGAATATTCAAAATGTGTTTTTATTCTCTTGCAGCAGTGTTATATTCCTCACGACAAGCCGCCACGTATCGCACTGTTAAACAATGTTGGGGAAGAGTCGAGAGCCCGAGATCTAATGCTTCCAGTGCGTGTGCATGCTGTGCATAATATACCAGCGCACACGCAGTGGGGTGATGCTGACTTCACGTCTTCACCAGATTATAATACTTGTTGAATGTGCGTGTGTGTTGTGCGTGTGTGTGGGTGTGTATGTATGTGTGTTCGGCTGAGCTTGCACACCGTCAGGTCACTGTTGAATATAAGAATTCATTGGCCTTATGTATATAAATATATATATACCGTGGCTTACTCATGTATTATCTCATTCATTGTATATTTATCACTGTCCTGTAATATTTCATTTTATATGTCTGTATTGTAACACTCTGTAACCAGTGGAAATCAAATTTCCTGCAAAGGACAATAAATAAATTATTATTATTATTATTATTATTATTATTATACTCTGAACATTAGGCATTCTTACACAAAAATAAGAACTCAATATAAATTTAGTTGACCCATGCTTCCTTTCATGCTATTTGCCCGTCCATTTTTGTATTGTGATGTAGGCCTATTATGCTTCGTTTAGTTTTAGTAAGATTAGGCTTAATCATGATCGGCCCACGAAGATGATTTCAAGACATTTTCTATAAATAAGACAGAATTTGACATGGGCTTATAACGAAAAATTGGAAGTATAGGTCTTCTGCGATAAATTTGAGTTTTTTTCTAAGCATATTTTATAAAACAGCTCAAGCAGAAAGTGGTTAGAGATAATGCTTGTTACAACACAACCCTTAATAAACCAACATGAGGCGATTTCAATAGCCTTGGCCTTTACCGATAAGTTGGCGAAGACATTGACGTATTATTACGTAATCAGAACATGGTTTCTTTCAGTGGCGCGATGAGTAACAACAAAAAGTATTGTTTTGCTTTCACAAAAGAAGTGGACAGGATAATCTAAACAGTCCCATTGAGCCTCCGCACCTGTTTTACAAGATGAAATAAAGGACCTTGTAATTGCCTCGCTGAATTTAACCGTTCATGCGATGATTATACAAAATTGTAAAGCATATGAAGATGGTCAATGGGAGCGTTTACATAATCCTGCCAGTATTATGGGCTACCTTTTAGAAAGTAATACAATTTCTACAATCTAATAATTTGTTAATAATCAGTAGACCCCAAATTACATCTCGAGAAAACTATGATAATTAAAACTTTCGAGCTATACTATTTCAGTTTGAACTGAAATACAAAAAAAGAGCATTTTCTTTACATCCAGTCTTTGGGTCTGTTTGGGGGACTCTGGGGCCTAAACCCGACTGCTGCAGTCAGACTTACAACATTTTTGTCAATGAGAATAATAGTCTACGTCACTTTGAGAGCACTATTTCTGGACAGGCTCACAGAAAATTATTACCTCCGTGACCGTATTTCGTTCTACCTAATGATTCTTTTTCTATATATTATAAAGATACTGATATGGATAAGTGATAAGCAAGATTTCACTATTATGAACTTTAAAAATCTCCTTGTATATGGGCCTATCAAGTTTGAGCTGTTGAAGCAGATCATGTTTGCTGGCAGTTAAAAATAAATTAACATTGATTGTAAGAGCCTATTGTATCAAGGCACATGAAAAGCTCAAATTAATTGATAAAGCGATATAATAACATTTTACAGGGAGATGAAATAAATCAAATTTAGATTGTGTATTTGCCAGTTCCTCACAGAATGCTTATATAGTTAAGCCTAAATTTTGAAAGACGTAATTTTTCTCTAGACTTTGTACACGAGCTTCCGAGCTCTATATATTGTGGTAAACAACGAACATCTAGAAAGGAAACTAAAAATCAAAGAAATTACAATCTTATCGTGTACAGTGCCTCTGATTGGCGTAGCCTGTAGGTTACGTGGAGCGTTTCATGTGAACTCTTCCATCATTTCATTTCAAAATAATGCTAAGAATACTAAAAACAGGAATTTTCGTGGATTTAATTCTTCTAGTCAGAATAACATGCAGAATCGGCTTTACAGCGTAGACATTCGCTCTTCTGGTCTGACGTCACTACGATTCTGAGCAGATTTAGTTTTTCCTCATTCAAGGGAGCATGAAATCCCTCTGGATTTGCTATTGTATTAAATGTATGGTTATTCAGATCCTCGGCCATTAAGATTTTGCATGCTTGATTTTCAAATGATATTAAAAATTCTTCCAAGATTGGATCATAGTCCATCGTATAGTGTACGATGGGCTTGAGTGGTTAGATAATAATGCCACGGAACTACATGAGCACGCGAGCATATTGTGGTACCATTACAGCATCACACAGGCCCACATCATACCAGTGACGTAACAACAACAAACGTTTAACTTAAAAAATATAAGCATTATAATTGGCCTTTTTTTTTGGTCAATGATATAGTCACTGGGAATTCTGCCGGGCCTTTTGGACTTACTTAGCCTTAATACTATCTTTTAAGTCTTGAAATCATTATTATAATTTTTTTCTTCTTCAAATAATACTATAGAAATTATAATATAATACATTGAAAAATGCTTGTTTCCACGTGTTACTACCTATGGCATGGATATTCCTTGGGATTGATTGGAGTTGGGGTATTTTCGACATTTTGATCCTTCATTAAACTTTCTCACAGTCTGAAATTTCAGGTAAGTTGCATTTCACATAATTTGAAGGAAATGCAAGTGGAATAGTAGGCTTATAGGCATATGCACTGAATGATGCACATGTTAACAAACCAAACATGTGCATCATTCAGTGCATATTCTACTCCACTTGCATTTCTAATTCTTAGTCACTCATTATTATACTCGGTCAAGACATATGCCCTAGGCATTCCAACTACTTTTTGCCAAGTAATCTGGCTCATTTCACATTTTGTACTGAAGTATATGTATCACAAGTGGTCGTTTTCACTTAGTTTTGAATTAAAAAGAGACTATGTAATAATATGGCAGTTGAGTTTTAAAGGTCAACAGGAGGCATAGTCCCTGGGAGTTTACGGGTCTCAGTGGCGGATCCAGGGGGGGGGTACAGACGGCACGTGCCCCCCCCCCCGTAAAAAAGGAGGGGGAAAAAGAAAGAAAGACAAGAGAGAAAGTAGAAGAAAAGAGGGAGGAGAGAAAAGGGGATAGAAGAAAAAGGAGGGGATAGGAAGAAAGGGGAAGAGAGAGGAGAGAAAATGCGGAAAAAGGAAGAAAGGGAGAAAGACGGAGAATATAAAAGGGGAAAAGGGAGAATAATGAGAAGGGAAAAGAAAAAAAAGGGGATAATATTATGATAAGAAGGTTTTTTTTTTTTTTTTACAGGGAAAGGTGCGGAGGGGGGGGGGGCACGCAATTTTGTAGTGTGCGTAATATGGGTCCCTCTTGCCAGGCGTGTATCCCCCCCCCCTCCAAAAAAAGAGATGGAAAAAAGGGGGAAAGGGAGAATTTTTGTGAGTTAAAGGAGAAAGGAAAAAAAATGAAAGAGAATCAATTTAATGAAACGTCAAAGATTCCGTGCTTCGCGCGGGAGGGGGAAAACTGAATTCAGACATGAATTAAGAGTAATAATTCAATGAAACGTCAAAGCTTCCGCGCTTCGCACGGGAGGGGAAAACTGAATTCAGACAAGGATTAACAGTAGAGAACGGAACGACGAATCGTCTTTTCTCTCTAATAAAATTTTGATAAATCGTCAAAGCTTCCGCGGGAGGGGAAAAACTAAATTCAGATAAAGATTAAAAGTAATTTAATGAAACGTCAAAGCTTGCTCGCTTCGCGCGGGAGGGGGGGGGCAACCGAATTTAGACTAGAATTAAAGGTCGAGAACAGTACAACTAACCGTCTTCTTGCTTTAATAATTTAATGAAACGTGAAAGCTTCCACGCTTACGAATCGTCTTCTTTCTCTAATGATTAAATGAAAGGTCAAAGCTTCAAAGCTTCGCGCGGAAGGGGGGGGGGGGGACTGAATTCAGACAAGGATTAAGAGTCGATAACGGTACAAAGAATCGTCTTCTTTCTCTAATAATCAAATGAAACGTCATAGCTTCTGCGCTTCGCGCGGGAGGTGCGAAACAAGAATTAAGAGTCGGGAATGGTACAACGAATCGTCTTCTTTCTCTAATAATTTAACGAAGTGTCAAAGTTTGTCAAAGGGAGGAGGGGGGGGGGGGGGACTGAAAAATAACTTAGTTCCTACCCCGGGTTTATAGGGTTAAATTTGTAGACATTGGGACATTGACATTAATATATTTGTCGGTAATTTGTGGGTAGTTTTTTCGGTAATGGAATGGTGGTGGTTATTTTACCTGACTGCTAAGAAAGCATTAATGCTTGTAAGTAAGCAACCAGACGGCCGACGGCTTTAGGTCCTCTCCGAGGGACCTGGTGATGAGAATTAATGCCTTACCAAAGGGCTATCTGTGGCCTCTACACCCCCCTTTTTTTCTTTTGTTGTTTCTGAAAAAGGTCTAGCGACGCTCCTGATAACAACACAGTCGAGATAATTTTTGCAAGTACTATTGGCATGGGTGTCGATCCCGGGGGGATGGGGGGGGGATATATCCCCCCAATATTTCAGGTGGGGGGGTGGCCTGTACAATCATCCCCCCAATAATTTACCATAAAAAAAAAATTAAAAAATGAAGAGAAAAATTAAGGATGAGAGCCCGATGAGAGTAGTTAATGGTTATTACTCGCAAGATGACCATCAATGTACACATTTTGCTATCTCATTTTCATAATACATACATACATGTATATACGAAGTAAATAAGACAACCGTATATGAGACAAGAATAAATTGAATTCTCGCTCATACGGCTTCATCAGGAATTGATGAATTTATTCAATTTGTTCAATCAAGTACACGATACAACGAAGCGTCTTCTTTTACGAATAATTTAATGAAACGTAAAAGCTTCCGCGGAATGGGCGAAAATGAATACAGACAAGGATTAAGAGTAATAATTTATTGAAACGTTCAAGCTTAAAGGGGAGAAACTGAGTTCATGAAGGACACGATACAACAAATCGTCTTCTTTCTCTAATGTGAAAGCTTCCGCGCTTCGCGCAGGAATGAACGAAAATGAATTCAGACAAGGATTAAGAGACGAGAATGGTACATCGAATCGTCTTCTGTCTTTAATAATCTAATGAAACGCCAGAGCTTCCGCGCTACGCGCGAAGGAAGGGGAACTTGATTCAAACAAGGATTAAGAGTCGAGAACGGTCCAACGAATCGTCTTCTTTCTCTAATAATTTAGTGAAACGTCAAAGCTTCTGCACTTCCGGGGGGGGGAACTCCCCCTCCCTGCACGCAACCCCCTTGGGACCGCGCTTCGCGTGCTCACTACCGCCCTGCTACCGCCCCCTAAAATGAAATCCTGGCTACGCGCTTGGGAGGGGTGCAACTTGCCACACGCTTCTACCTCTTGATTGCTTTGATCCATTGCCGAAAATATTTTGGCACCTATCATCCCCCCCAACCACGGATACAAATCTACACCCTTGACTATTGGTGAAGTACCAGACCACCGTCTTTGTGTAACAGATCACTTTTTTCTAACTTCTAACCAATCAGAAGGCCTCGTTTTTTCCAGGATGTGCCGGTGGACATAATGCGCCAAATGTGGTTCTCAAATTTCAAAAGATCCCTACTTTTGGAAGGGGTAGGAAAAAGCAATTTTACGTCATTACTCCAGGAAGTGCGTGAAAATGCGCCTAATGTGGTTCTAAAATTGCAAATGCTTCCTACTCAGGGAGGGAGTTCTGACCCCCTCCCAGACCCACCACCGCTTGGTCGCTCCCCTCCCTCGCCGCTGTCGCTTCCCTCCATCGTTTTTCATATATTTCACACCATGCGATTTTGTGCCCCCCCCCCCCCGGTAAGAAATTCCTGGATCCGCCACTGGGTCTCTTTTGGAGCATTAATTGATCCCTTTTACATCCTCAGATATTATGTTAGTATAGTCACATTCACATAATATAATTTCAAGGCGTGAGTTCTACTGAGGAGCCGTTTTTAACATAGCTAGGCCTACTCGTTAATTTCAGACGACTTTGTCAAAGGCCCTTCAAAAGCATGCATAGCCCCTGGGATTTATAATGGATTTGTTGGAGGAGGTTTAAAGATGATTCTTGAACTGTTCATCCTTGCTCTCGTTCGAAAGTCATACATTAAAAAAGATGGATTAACTTATGTCCGTATCAAGGAAAAGGAGACATGTTTTCACTAATACTAGGTGCACAGCCTAGCTATAAATGTAGGTGGCGAGCGCGAACGTCATTTTTCGAGCCCGTTTTCTTCACACGGGGATTTACGCTTACCGAATGTACTAGAATAATACTACGGAAGTAAGTCAGAGTGCATCGTCGACGTCTCGATCGACACAATACAAGTTGAGCGTTGTTAGGATTGTTACCAACCGACTCGTCTATTAGTAGCTAGATTCTACCACTGTAAACGATTTCCACACCAAAATTTGTCATTCTTGTCTCAATCATGGCGGGAGATTACTCTGTTGTAACTGCGAGCTATGTCAATGTGCAAATTTCCAACTCACTGACGTCTTTTGCATCGGAGAAGCGATTTCCAAAAAGTATCACCATTGCTGAACTGAAGGTAGATATCGTGTACATTACAATTATTGCAATGGGTGGGACCTGGTTATAGATCTAGGCCTACTCTTACTTACTTGGCCGGTTGGTTGTGTGCAAAAAAAAAACAATTTCCTGGCTTCTTCTCGCCCTTTCTCGGGTAATGGTCTCTGTCAAACTGCTTTAATATTTGGAAAGTTTTGGTGAGCACCAGCTATTTTGACAAACAATATTGTCAAACTGTTATTGATTCAAATTTTGTAGTTCATTGATTGGGTGCACTGGTGTTTCTGTGACCAAAACTAAGTTTTGCAATCGTAATAATAATAAATATTGCAATTCAGATCTGCTGCAGATCACCTAATTCATTGCAGTGATCACTTCTAATTTATAAATATTTAGCTTCTCAATTTAAATTAATCGAACTTCGAAGTAGGGTTGGCACGTTTAAAATGCTTTTAAATCCCCCTTTTATTTTAAATAAAAAACAAGATTTAAAACACCCCCTTAACTTATTATTAAGTTAGGCATGTGATGTATGTTATAAGTTTTGTATGCCTTTTTCCCCCAACATGTTATCGTTCTCTTGCTTATAGTTACTTGGTTTTGCATTTATTTTGGCATGAACATGATTCAAAAGTTGCTTTTTAAAATACCAGTGGAATAATATCTTTCTTCACCCTGTCTCTCTCCTCTTGGGTCCTCTGAAATCGACAGTACATGATCCTGTTGGCGGCCCAGGATGTTGGTCTCAGTCTTTTTTTTGGTCTTTTTTTTTTTGCTCGCTTACTTCGCTGACTCGTGAAATTTATATAATCTGGATGGTTGATAATTGCCCAACACTTCTCAGCCTCCCATGGTAATGTGGCTAGGATTTAAGTGCTCCCATGGGAATTTTTAAATGGGTAAATGCAAAATAAGTAGCATTTTAATGGGTCAAAAATGCAGAAAATATACCTCAATTTCATTGTTTGCCCCAGGTGCCATCATACATAGATACGCCACATTTGCCACTGATATTACTGTAAAGAACTATGAGAGAATTATTGGAGAGAAAGCACTTTGTTAACATTAAAAATATGTATTAAAAAAAAACCTGAATTCAAGTTAGAAGAACAGTTTGTTGGAAACATGTTTTGCTATCCAGTGTAGAATTACACATTTCAGGTAATGCAGTGTTAAGCCACTTATTGAAACTTGTTGTTTATTTTAAGGGTAAATTTGAGCTGATAACAGGATGCAGTGCCGCAGCTACAGATCTAGAGCTTTACACATCAGAAGGAAAGTTGGTAGGACCCATCAACAATGATGATGCTTTATTAGGCTCATACCCGGTAGAAGATGGAATGAGAATTCATGTGAGTTAGCAACATTTTATTTTCAACTTGAGGTTTATTGTTTTGGTTTAATTTATAAATATAAACTGTAAATAGAATTATATTCCACTTTTTCCACAAATCTTCAAATCTTTAGACAGAGAGGTTTATTGAGCATTGGCAGTGTATAGATTTCTTTTCCATGTGGAATTTACCTAAAAGAGTTAGAACTGTTTGTGACAAAGTTAATCATCAAAAGAAATTGTAAGAGAAATCAGTGTGCTTTGTAGTTGAATATGAATGTCAATATCAGTTCATGTTCCACTAGGACATGCAGTCATGCCCATAGTAATAAAAAAAAATGAATGTTTTGTTGAATCAAGATAGGTTCCTGTAGAACTGAAACATATTTTTCTGAAATTGCATGTTTATTCCCCAAAGGGTCGTATGAACAAACATCACAGGTGCGGCAATATACATATATCAATTCATGACTAGTTCAACACTTCTCTTTTTAGGTAATCAACAAGGATAACAACCGTGCTGCAGGAGAGTTTGAAGATGTTTCAAGGGTGGAGAAATTTGAGATATCAAAAGATGAATATGATAAGAGAGCAGGTAAGATTCAAGAATGATTATTCATGAGGGTAATATGCTCCCTGAAGCTCTGAAATTTTTGAGAAATTTTGTTATGAAGAGATAGTGCAGGACCATCTTGTTGTGGACACTATCTGTCAATCAATTAATAATTTTTGTTTGCCTGTTTCAAATCAAGCTCCAGTAAGCTGGAAGTGTGTCTCTGTTTCTATGTGATTCAGTTGATTGTATAAGAATTTTGTCATCACACACATACTGTATGCATATTCATGTGTAATTACCGTTGTGTTGGCTCAGTCAGTAGAGCGTGCGCCTCACAACCGGGAGGTCGTGGGTTTGTACCCAGGCCGCGTCACACCAAAAGACGTTAAAAGACAGGAGTTGCTTCTACCTTGTTTGGCGTTCAACAATAGGGGATAGAGCAACGTCGATCTGGCGCTGCTCAGTGGCTGCCGGGCTCACGATCAATTGGGCAAAAAGAATTTCCATTTTCGGTTTAACTTAATAAAATTTGGAGTGGACTTTAAAAGATTATTATTATTATTATTATTACTGTTATTAAGTAAAAGGTGTAGAGTACTTAGTTTATGACTTAGCATACCCACAGGTGATACACACTTAAGAGTTCATTTAATAATAATAATAATAATAATAAAGGGGTGCTTATAAAGCGCTTTCCACCAAATAAAGTTAAACCTACAAATTACAATACATATGACATATACATCAATGTGAATAGAGTAAGTTAATCATCAAAAGCAATTTTGAATAAATGTATCGTAAGAAAAGTTTTGAATTGGTTTGACAGTCTGACAATTTTTGAAACGTAAAGATAGTTTGTACAGTAATACCCTCCCATTCATTCATAAACCAATTCCTGAAGAAAAGTAAGTTTTTGTAGTTATAAGAAAAAGTGTTTAAGATTTTTGATCACTAACCTGTGCTCATTCCTGTGTTTTTGCCCGCCATGGATGTTTAGATTCTGTACGAGCATTCAAGAAGAAGATGAAGATGGGTCAATTCAAGGAGGTTAGCCCGGAGGAACAAGCGAGGATAGATGGAGAGAAAGCTCAGAATGCAGCAGAAGAAGAAAGGCTAGCTAAAGCTATCACTGTTGACTCAAGATGTGAAGTCTCTGTACCCAATGCACCACCCACTAAAAGAGGAACTGTCAGATTCGTTGGTAAAGCATCTTGTTACTCAATGTTGCTGCTTGTTTTCGATTTCTTAAGGTATACGTTGCGATTATGTGTATTCATATCTTACCTGTATCATGACTACCAACATTCAACAGGTAGGCAAAATGTATACCATTTTTGGCATACGCATTTACTTGATCTGAGTAGTGTTGTACACAGGCCTTGGACTAGTATTCAAATATTTGAATTATTAAAATAACTTGGAGCTGATTGGAACACAAATCCACTTTTCAGTACTCATCCTCTTACCAATATTGATTGGAACGTTATATAAAAATCTCATGTCCAAACCCATTGCTAGATGGTAAAGAACTATTACATAACAATAAGAATATAGAGGTCCCACCTAAGCTGCGATAGATAACTTGCAAAAGTAACTAATTTTGATGATTTGTTTTACAAATTTTGTTTTAGTTCTTTCAGTTTTAGTGATAATGATATAAATGGCAAAATAATTGGTGATATTGATTGCAATATGTTTGCTCTTCTTTTGTTTATATTCTACTCTTGTTATTGATTGACTTTGTAGGGATGGCAGCCTTCAAGCCTGGATACTGGGTTGGTGTACAATATGATGAACCTCTAGGCAAGAATGATGGCAGGTTAGTGTACTACTCTCTTCAACACTTCTACTTACTATGGGTCATTCCTGTCAGATAGAGAACCAAGAGTGTGCTGTGACATCAAAACTTGGCATCCATTTGTGTGATGACATGTTATATTACAAATGAGGATCTTTATGACATTTGCTGAATCAAAATCTGTTGTCGTCAAAATGAAATTTAAAGCACATGCCATTGATTTAAAGGGAAAGTTAAATTGTTTGCTACAGTGCAGTACCCTCATAAATATTGGGCATTTTGGATTAAGTTCAGCCAGGGAAGGTATTCTGAGAATTTGTGAAAATATATAAAAAAATAAAGTGAAATAAGTGAAAAATCTGAGATTTTATCTCAGATTTTATCCTTTATTTCATTTCAAATTCCTTCCTCTTGTGTGCCTATTAGTTACATGCAGGATGAATACAGCTTTAATGCTTTATAAACTCATCTGACCATAATACAAATCTAAATAAAACTTAAAATCGGGTAGAGGCTGTTCTGTCTCTGGAATGCATGTATAGGTGTGACATTTGGTATCAGTATATCGGCTTGAAATAAAATCAGACCGAGTATAAACAATATTTCTCAAGGAACATTATTGGTTATGGCATAAATGATGGAAATGTCTTGTACATGTATGAAGAAAAAACCTCATTTAAAAGTATTCTCAGAATATCTATTCAAAAAGATTTTAAGGGTTATTTATCTGACTACCAAACTTAAGAGTTTTTTAAATGTGCAAAATCATTGTATATCAGAGTTAATAAACCTACCTTAAAAGTTTAGTAGCAAAGGTATTGTTAAGTCGGTAAATTTGTCTAGTCAAAGGCAATATTCTCTCTCTCCCTTCCAGTCTTTTCCAAACATTGTTGATAAAGGTTTTAGTATCTTGTTGATATATTTTCTATCCTTTAGTTACCGGTGAATAAAGGAACATGAATAACCTTTATCTTTATGTTTATACCATGGTGCAACACTTTGAGTTCAGTCTTTATTCATTCTTCAGAAAAGACAAGTAAAAACCATGCAAACATTAAAATATATACAAAGCAATTCAAGGGTAAAATACAAGGTACATCAAATGAATAAAAGAGACCATTGAGGCTTTACAGGTTGACAGTCCCAAGAATTAACAAGTAATAATTTTCATATCCATTTTTGCAATTAAAGGTAATACAAAGTTTTGGTATGGGGTCATGAATTTGGTTCGAATGAATATATTGGAAGCATATACCATCCTACAATATTTAGTGATCGTTGTCGCGGTCGAAATGGCCTCTAAAGTTATGAAATTGTAAATAATAAACACTTTATGTTGAATAGCTCCCTCTCAAGGTCAAGATATTAATTAAGCTATAAAACAATGTCTATTGACTAAAATCAACCGATTAGCTATTCTTGTTCGGAAATTATATACCACAACTACATATTCTGAGATTTTCATGGTCGCAGCTACCATTGTACGGCCGTAGGAGCTATTTGAAATTTATCAAAATTTACCGGGAGCACCGGTAAATCTTTATATTTAATTTTTCTTGAAAGCAGAAATGTTTTAGGGGCTAAAATTTCTGGTGTTTTTAATGCATCCACAGGGGTATCCAAATATATCAAAATTGTAAAGAATCACTATCCACCCATTTTTCAAAATTTCCCAAAACTTTGTAATGCCTTTAAGTCTGTTAAACAACATTTTTTTTACACTCAAAATCTACTTATGCTACGGTCACAAAAGTTTGTATGAACGATATTTTCATACGAATCTCCCTGTTTTTCCATTGTCTTCCCGAATTTATATTGTCTGAAAATCGTTCATACAGCGTTCGTAGCAGTTCGTAATGGCATTTGTGACCGAGGCTTTAGAGGGTCTGTTTGTCCTTCAATTTGCATGTGATTTGAAAACAATAAGTTTTATCAACCTACATGTACATATATTTTCTAGATTCTATTATTGTATTCTAATCTAACCACTGAGCTTTATTAAGGAACAACTATTCTGAATACCAAACTTGTCATAACCATCAAACAATCAAAATGCCCACCCCCAATAAAAAAAGAACAAACACTTTATTTTCTTATGTAAGCTATTTTGACCTCTGATTTCTAACTGTGTTTTTTCTCATTTTGTATTTGTATGCAGTGTTGGTGGAAAGAGATACTTTGAATGTCTTCCTAAGTATGGTGGCTTTGTGAAGCCTCAATATGTGACGATTGGTGACTTTCCAGAAGAGGACTTTGATATGGATGAAATGTGATCTTACCATCCTACATGCATGTCATCTGTCTCGGACCGGATTAAGGTCATATTGTTTGTTGCTTCAGATAGATTGTTACAAATTTGGAACATACACACATGTGACCTTTCAGATATTCTCTTTCATCTGGGTATTGGAGAAAGAATTGTAGGAAGATTTTGATTGGTCAAAATTTATCTATTTTGATCAGAGCTGTTGAAGAAATTTGAAGGCACAAAGGCCCATCAAGTGGACCAAATTAAACCTGGCTTTAGTTCACAAAATTACGGAGCATCAAGTATCAATCAGTTCTTTGAATATTCCCTTAACATGAACACAAAAATGAAAGATTAAAATTAAGTCTTGAAATGTGAAGTTCATGACTTGATTATTATTAATTCATTATTGACACTTGATGTTTCATGAATCATTGGACTAGCTAAGCTCTAACCCAGTTTGGTTGTGTGTTTCACCTGGACTACAGGTAGTATGCAGTACCAATCATCTGAAAAAGTACTCTGTGTTCAGCTAGATTGTATAAAATTATCCTCAAATACATTTACCTGGCATTCTATAGGTTAACAGTTAAGGAGAATGAAGAAAATACAGAATGACATGAAACCCCGCCTATGGACTTGGGTTCAATGCATGCGTCACCAACTCGGTCTAACCAACAAGTTATATTTGAAGCTCATATTGTGAATACAGTATAGCTACATGAAATCCCCATACATCAAAAGCAAAATGTAGAATACTAAACAAAGTCTGTGCAATGCTTTATAGTTCATAGCTGACTTGTGATGAGATATACCTTCTCTCTATCACTGCTTGTGCCTAGGGTTTTTTGTAATGAGTAAACAAAGCAACTTTTAAACTACTTGGTGATTGGTTGCGCTACAAATTCAGAAACAAATAACCTCTCCATTACCCCTTCATCATATGTATTACTCTGGTGTAATGTCTTGTAGAAATCTAGAAATATCTTTGTATCAATTCAATAGTTCGGTAGTGAAATCTATGTGCATCTAACAGAATTGTTAATTAGGTAATCCATACTTATGCCTCTGCCCACCAGAGTTGTTGCCCAAGGCATTATGTTTGTGTATCTTCTGTCTGTCCTGCTTTCTCCCATGTATACTAAAGATACACTGTATCTAACAAAAAACAAAAAACATTTGAGCAATGAAATTGAGATGTGTTATTGACATCCAGACCTTGGCCTGTGGCCTCTATGAAAGTTAACCAACCTTTGGGAAATTCTGAATTTGTTGGTTCATGTTATTTGTTATAAAGGACTGTAAAGCATGCAAAGTGTACGATTTATATCCTTCAACATGTTAAATCTCAAACAAGAATTAAAGTGTATGCATGTAGGACCAGTGCAAATACATGTACACAAGCTTCTACACATTGTGGACTTGTTAAGGGACAAGTGCTTCATTCAGATTTCTCCCTTGAACACAATCACAACTTTTTTTGGAAAACCAACTTAAGCGCCACTTCAGTACCTTAATGTAACAGTTGACCGGAGTGTTGGCTCAGTCAGTAGAGCGTCCGCCTCACAACCAGGAGGTCGTGGGTTCGAACCCCGGCCGCATCATACCAAAAGACGTTAAAAGATGGGAGTTGTTGCTACCTTGTTTGGCGTTCAACAATAAGGGATAGAGCAACGTCGATCTGGTGCTGCTCAGTGGCTGCCGGGCTCACGATCAATTGGGCAAAAAGAATTTCCGTTTCGGTTTAATAAAATTTGGAGTGGACTATTAGGCTATTATTATTATTATATTATACGGTATCCATTAGAAATAATTTACCGATTGCGGAATACCTCGTCATTTGCACAGATTGCAATAGGTGACGCAGAAAGCTATTGAAATTACCCTATGTTGATTTTCGAAATAAGTTGCGATGGTGTTTGTGGTTAATCACATTGAATTACTTCCACCTGTACAATGGGATGCATTAGAAAGTGAATATCAAGATATTCTTTACTGTACACCAAGGGATTGACTTCCATGTACCTTACCAATAAACATGAATTCAGAGATCTAGATATAGATGTCAATTCGGAACCAGACAGCTAGGATTAGATTGGAATTATTTGATGTGAGACAATGTTTTAGTTGTATATACATGTAACATACTGTATAAACAAGGAAAGTAACCAGTGTTCCTCTCAATGTATTTTAATTTCTTATTTCCATTTCCAGCATGGTTCAGCTGAATATACCAAACTGTGTGTGTCAAGACTTTAACACTTTTTTTTGTTTGTTTGCAGAAAGATGTATATATTTATTTCATATCAATGTTGTGAATAGTGTTTTAATTACAAAATAAACAAAAAACCTTTGGCAGCTTGTTTAATTTTAACTCGAAAAAAGATTTCAAATGTTATAATGATGAAATGTGTTTGATCTTAAATAGGCATTTTGTTGTACTATGTTAAACTACATGATCATTAAAGTGTGCTTCAAGCAGAATATAAACCACACCTGATACTCTCAAATCTCTTTATTATAATACAGTGTTGCATTCCTAAGTAGAGATCATTTCTATTATATGTATTTTTTATATGTGTGTTGTAGAGAAGCAGTCAGAAGATTAAAATTCCCTAAATTGTGTGCAAATTCCAGTTGAATCTGTGACATAGAGCTAATCACTAAGATATCAAACTAAGTCTGCTTGTATGTCTCCGAAATTCTAATCATAATTTTATGGCACCTGAATAGCTTCATGACACCCTTCTTATAATATACATCAGCTCATAACCTTTGCTCAAAAACTAACAAATATATACTAATTATTCTCAAACCCAGACTCCCATCTACCGAGAAAAAAAAAGATTTACAGTACGTGGCTGCTTGTAAAACATTGAGCAGTATCACCCTTTCTATCAGAGAATTACCCTGCCTTGCCACCATCAAAAGACCCATTCAGTGCACATACTTCTTCCCTGAGTAATATAATGCGATTTGCCTATTTTGTGAGTCTGAGTGTTGTCTATATCTCTTCACATTCTGTTATTTGATAAGCGCTATGGTACATTTAAGTTTTAGCGCTCCTAAATAATCGATATTATTATTAAGGAAGCTTTCCAGAAACATGAAGATCTCAAACATTTCTGAAAAGACTCGTATACCTTGCACTGTTGACATGTGGACAGTGAATCCATACAATGTGAAAATGTAGGTTTGATGTACAAGTATTAATGTATATATCTATACGAAGATAAATACATGACAGAAAATGTCTATGTAATGAAGCCGAGTGATTTAAGGATTCTGGGATCTGGGATCCCTCACAGAAGCGACCAGAACGTCACAAGATAGAAAGATCTGGCTTGAGGTCATGAAGCAGAAGCCATCACACATCTCCCAGATGGTGCGGAAGGCTTAGGTCAAGGTAGGTCAAGGTAGGTCAAGGATTTAAGGATGCATGTAGGACTGAATACGAAAGGAAGGGGTCGAACTGAATTTCAATAGACGGACCGGGATCTAAAGTTGTCAGCTGTTGGTTTGTATAGAACCAGTTTGGGCAAATTCAGCAAACCACTGTCAATGAGCATCATTCTACATCAATGATGAGGCTCCATCACAGAAACACATCATTGTCTTGTAATTCTGATCGTAACTTTTCAACCTTAGCACAGGCTTGTTCAGTCATCTGATCATAGAAACACATCATTGTCTTGTAATTCTGATCGTAACTTTTCAACCTTAGCACAGGCTTGTTCAGTCATCTGATGATGAGGACCCAGTGTAGATTTGTATCCTACAAATGAAAGTAAGAACAAATATCACGAAGTTATTCCTTTTTCCTCAAATATTTGAATTTCATGAATAAAATGCGTGATGATCTGAATATCATCACCAAAACCCAGTCGTTTGCTGTAACTTATTAGCATTCTATTTCAATAGACAACCATTCTTCACCTTCTCAAAGCTGTTTTTAGAAGTAAATCATCAATTCTGCTATTAAAGGTGAAATTCAAAGAAGATCACAAATATTTCAACTAATGTATCACTAGAAACTGGTAAGCTAACAGATGGCCATCGTACAAGTTTTATGTCAACCACATAAAGGGTGATTTATAAAAATAAAAATACAACCACCTCCATAGCAGCTGGGATATATACGAGAGATTCGCCGGAAAAATATTGATGTTTTAATGACGTCACTATATGGACCAACACTGCCCAAGCAGACGACATCCCATAGAGAATGAACATAATTGCAAAGCTATTATTTCTCCAATTATAATGAGTTTAGTGTATATAAATGTAATGGCATGTCAAACCATTCAAAATGGGATATGACCTGACTCTGATAACTAAAATCTTTTGCTTGTAAATACACAGGATAGGGGTTAATTAACAATCAAAGAAACCAGGCTTTCAAATTGAAACCCCCCCGGAATGATATTAAGGTCGGCATTTGTTCCCTCTTGAAACGCCGAACATACCCCGGTGTGTGCAGCTGAATATACAATGGCGTCTTATTTTGTTTACAAGCTTTATTTTTGTATCGCTGCATTTTTCATCAAAATAAAACCATGCGCGGGGTTTAGAGTGGGGCAATAGATTATACATTTAGCCTGACGGTAGTGAAGTAAGAGAAAGAACTCGAGGGAAGATCAAAACACAGGCACTGAAAATGTGTGAGATGTCATGGGACATCGTCTGCTTGTGCAAGTCATGTCCATACTGTGATCTCAAACATCTCAGCAGCGTTCGGAGAGCTCTTCAGGTGCTATGCCGGGGCTGTATTTAAGCGTTTTGTAATTTATCATAATCATTACTTCGAATGTTTCCAAGCATTGAATTTTGATAACCTTGTCGAATCAAAGTTTCAGCTTTGCAATAATGAAAATAAAGTTAGTTTTTAGAATCAATGAATATCTACTTTAAAAAAAAAACAATCGGGATTGGTTTGGTCAATTTTCCTTTCTTATTCACGTCTGTGATTTGTCATTTGTGAACTATGGTATACTCGTAATATAAGAAAGCGGGCACTGTTGCAAACCTTTGGCGATGTTCTGAATAATTGGTAAAGCTTCTCGTCGAGTTTGGAGAAGAGTAGGGAATGGCACTGACGTCATCAGCTCATGTGATAGTCGATTAAACAGATCTAAGTAGCCAGGGTACTTTGTCAAGAATAAAAACAAACAAAGGAAATAATGAAATCAACTAATGGGTTGTTACGCTTTTGTAAAAATAGAGAATTTTCTTTTATTGATCAAATGTCCTCATAGGCCTATGATAACGAGCAAACTGGTCGAAATACCTTGATCAGTTTTCATGAAATGCTGACATGAATTCAAAAGCGTTCTCTAATCAGAAGATCTTTTAAAAGAAACAACTGCTCACATTTTTTAAACACCCATCAAACAGTATATGCATTACACTTATGATAAAAAGATCCCTTTAAGATTGGATGAAAGGAGCTTCTACTATGGATATACCTTTTCTCGAGATTCTCGAGTCCCTGTATTCAACTTCTTTTTGGTTTTCCATCTGATCACTGATGTCAAAATACCAGCGGTAGATACCAAACCTGTAATGAAAGGATAACGCGAGGAATGAAAAGTTAAGGCGAGCTTTCGCAATTTAAATCAACACATTGGCAATAAAACAAAGTATCTAAGATTAAAATCACAGCTATCTGATACGAGGATTTCCACTCAAACGATTAAATAATATAATAGGTCCATTAACAGCGCAGCTATTATTATGCATACACGACTCTACTACGCGTAATACAAAGAATAATACTATAACCCCGGCTGCGTTATTTTTTTATGCGGCACAGATTGGGGTTAGGTGCGTGTTAAGCCTATGGGAAAGTTTAGGGTTAGGGTTAAATCAAGACCTCTTTAAAAAAAAAAGCCCCAATCTGTGCCGCAGAAAAAAATGACGCACCCCGGCTGTAGCTGGGCCGCCATCTAGAAAACGTGAGACCTAATAATCCACTAGAAATTTTTTCCAGAGGTTTATATTATGTCATAATAATAATGATAATAATATCGAATATTTAGGAGCGCTAAAAACAATAAGTACCATAGCGCTTACAAATACAAATATATGAAAAGAGGACATTAATGTACAGTCTCACAGGAAGTAGATCACGACACATAGAATACTGGTGGAAAAGATAAGTTTTGAGAGATAGGATCTTTGGAAGGTGGCAAGACAGGTAATTTCCCTTTCCCATATATGGTCATGCAAATTAACAAGGCCATCCAAAAGAAGAACAGATGGTTTTCTCTCTACTTCTCTTTCTCTCTCTCTCTCTCTCTCTCTCTCTCTTAATTCCCTCCTTATATCTTATTTTTCTTTCAATGGGAGGGGGGAGGGGCGTGCATTCGCCACGGATATGTGTGATTTTATGTAGGAGTGAACGCAATCCAAAATCTAAAGAGAGCAGAAAAATCAGAGAAGAAGACTAGTGAAAGTTTGACGTTTTCCCCTGTCATAATATTCTTGTTACTCACCACTTTGATTTGAATCAGCGCCATCTGCTGTTGCATGCTTCTGTCAAACGTCAAACAAAATGTACATTAAGAGACGATGGGCTATGATATGATTAACAAATATTGTGGCATATTTATTTATCTGTTATTATTATTTATTTATTTTGGTATTATTTGTTTATTTATTTATCTATTTATTTTATTTATATATATATATATGTATATATATATATATATTTTTTTTTTTGTTGGGGGGGGGGGGGGGGGCTATGATATTCCATATCATTATTTTGTTTGTATGATTTTCCTATTCATCAAATGTCGTTTTTTTTTTGGGGGGGGGGAGGGGTGGTACTGACTACTGCTCAAACCAGCATAAAAATACCTTATACAATTCAATAAAATGAAATATTATGAAACAGAGAAGGCATAATGGTTTCTCTTAAAGGTAATACAAAGTTTTGGTATGGGGTCATGAATTTGGTTCAAATGAACATATTGGAAGCATAAGCGATCCTACAATATTCCGTGCTCGTTGTCGCGGTCGAAATCGACTCTAAAGTTATGAAATTGTAAATAATTAACACTTTATGTTGAATAGCTCCCTCTCAAGGTCAAGATATTAATTAAGCTATTAACTAGGCGTTGTGGCGTGCGCCTGTAATCCAGCTAAAAAGTGGAAGTTACAAACTGATTCAGCCGAGGACGCAGGTTCGAAACTGAGTCACGTCTTTCGGATGGTGACGTTTAAAGGTCGGTCCCAGACGTAAATAATCATATCTGATTGATACACGTCTGTAAAAACCCAATACACACACACACACATATTAAACGATGTTTCTTGACTAAAATCGACCGATTAGCTATTCCAGTTCGGGAAATATATACCTCAACTACATATTCTGAGACTTTCATGGTCGCAGCTACCATTGTACGGCCGTTGGGGCTATATCAAAATTTACCGGGAGCACCGGTAAATCTTTATATTTAAATTTTCTCGAAAGCAGAAATGTTTTAGGAGCTAAAAGTTTTAGTGCTTTAGATACATCCACAGTGGCATCCAAATATATCAAAATTGTAAAGAATCACTATCCACCCATTTTTCAAAATTTTCCAAAACTTTGTAATACCTTTAAGTAGAAATATGCTATTTATTAGCTTTCATGGGTCATCCATCCAGGCACGTCAATCTATATATTTACCATCAACCTTGTATAAACCTTAATAAATTAATGTGCATTATACATGAAAAATAAAATAAATCGTTCAATAACAAAGAACTCAAAAAATCTAATCAAATTTGACATTGTGATCATGAATGTATATGGGTACTATTTTATAGCCTTATTTGCAAGTCAAAGGGGAAAGGTATCTGGTTCCTAATATTGTCTTCATGTCTTGTATTTCAACTTTAGAACATCTGAATTGTCCAGTGACCCTCCGGTCTCTTTAGACATCAAGAAGATGCATTGGTCACTTATTGTCTTGCATGTCATCTAGTTTAGAAAGACGCGGGGTTAAAAACTTTTTACTTTAGCTTGCCATGTTAGTTGGTGCGACCGGATTTGAACAACCGTACCTTCAAATCAAAATTACGACCGACCCTGTATGAAAATAAAATGAATAATTAGTTCATTATTAATAACATTAAATATTCCTTTGACTATAATAGTCCACCCGTAATGTTGTCACGAGAGCCGTATTCATATTTCTTATCATCTACATGTATACTAAACTTGAAAGATGTATAAATGATATCAAAGCTTGGTCCACTGCTAATGATTTGAAGTTAAATGAGGATAAAACTGAGGTTATACATGTAACATCTCGATTCAGAAAGTCCTCCCATTTACCATCTGTCGAAATTGCTAATGTTCCGATACAACCTGTCAAAAGTGCACGTAACCTTGGTGTCATCTTTGAAAATGATCTTAGGATGGATGATTATATAAAAAATATTTCTCGCTCAGCTTCATATGCCTTGTCCAAGATAGGTGGTATTAGAAATTTTCTTGATAAAAAATCTACCGAAACGCTTATACATGCATTTATTACATGCCGTCTTGATCAATGCAACAGCCTTCTTTATGGCCTTCCGGAGTCGCACATTGCAAAACTCCAGAGAATCCAAAACTCTGCTGCCAGGCTTGTAACACGCACACGTTCTTGTGAACACATCACCCCAGTACTTCGCGAATTGCATTGGTTGCCGGTGACGTACCGCATTATGTACAAAATCTTAGTTTTAACTTATAAATGCATTCATGAATTGGCACCAATTTATCTGCAAGAATTAATCGAGGAATACAAACCCTCACGCAATTTACGGTCATCTTCACAATTAAACCTCGTATCTACTTCTGTGTCAACTCTCTCTTATGGTAATCGCTCCTTTCGCAAAGCTTCTGCTGAACTTTGGAACAAATTACCTTCAAATGTAAAAAACTGTCAAACCGTTAACCTATTCAAAACTAGTCTCAAGACACATTTATTCAAAATTGCGTTCGATGATTAATTATCTCTGTTCACTTTGATGTGTATTCCATATGTATTGTTGTTTGTAGGTTTATTTGCATTTTTAGTTTTGTATAAGATGTAATTGTATATCAGTCTATTTTGTGTGTATAGCGCTTAGAGACTTCGGTGGTAAGCGCTTTATAAGTAACGTTTTTATTATTATTATTATTATTATCATTTACAAACCTTTCCTGCGGACTCGGATGTAGCCGGAACAGAATCTGAACCTAAAGTAAAAACAAAAACAGAACCTGAGTTCTGGTGCATTTATAAAACAAACAGTCGGGGTGGTTTGGTAATAATGATATTAGGCCTAATAGTAATAGTATAATGATGATGATATTAACAATTATAATTATAATGAAATATGGGGTCGAGCAACTCACACTAATCGGAGTAATCGGTTAATATATTGATGGTGCCATGCATGATCATCAGGTGGACTGAGATCAACAGGACGAATAAATGAGGAGGAGAATTAGAAGGGGCAGGAATGTTTTCCAAATTATATTACACACTTCGTCAAACTCTTGTCAATCTTATGGTGAGACACTGGAAATGAAATTGCTATTGATTTACAAACAAGACTCTATCACTTACCAAGCTTTCCCAAGAGCTTTCCAAAAACTTTGGAAGCCATGCTCTTGTCTATATCTGTCTCTTTGGTAGATTGAACTGTACTATCCTTCTCTGCAGCATGTTCAGTGTTAGTATACATCTCACATGGTCTGAGTAAACTGAGTTCATTCGATCCTATAGGGTGATAACGTCCAATGGTGGATGGTGTTCTCTCTAGCTTGTTCCCATGCGGGTCTGTTTGCATTATCTCACCAACCAGGGGCATCTTACTGGCATGGTTGTCTTCACACGGTGCATGCCAACGTAAAAAATTGAATCAAATTGATTTTCTTTCTAAATATAAGGAACGAATGCAAACTGAAAAACAAGTAGACAAAGACACTAATCTTAAAAAATATTCTACCAGAGTTCTTGACTCGAGTTGCGACTCGAATCGCTAATTCGTCTTAATTTGCGACTGGACCTGGACTTGCTGAAGGCCTTGACCTATTTAACCAGAAGACCTTTAACATCTTACAATGTGTTTTTATCCCTGAAAAACCAAAGTTAGTATAAAACAAAGCGTATTAGACTGCTGGGGAAAAGGCCCGTTGATGCAACACAGATTGGAACTGTCGACAATAAATTTGTGCAGAATTTTGCAAAATCCCTCTGCATAGATTTTCCCCGTTTATACAGATTGTCGTCGGCTTCAAGTAGAGCTGCATAATTATGTTTCGTTTGATGCTCTCTGCTATTTACAACATACTTGTTAACGTCACAGTGTTGGAAAGTAAACTTACAGAGTACTATTTGACTTTATTTTATCAGAATTAAAAAAGAAGAAGTGGAAATTAAACTACGGTTTGATAATTAGACATGTCTTTTGACACTAAAAATAAATAAATAAATATATATAATGGGATGCCTACCATGTGGAGTCAATAGGGAGCTGTATTTAGGCGTT